GTTGCATTCCTTGCTTTAACATTGACTGGCTCTATCTCCTGGCACACACCCACCAATGCCCCTTCTTAAAGTGTCTGCTCACATTTAGAGAAATTGGCCACTGTTATAGGTACTACTTGATAACCTGCTACAAGTGACCTTCCAATCTTCAAATCCACTGGCCTGGATGGGTCTTCCACTGCTACCACAAGCATTGGGCTTCCTTGGGGATGTTCTTTTATCCTACCCCAAATTATCTTCTCTGACATAGGGGCATTGTAGTTGACTTAAGTGCTGTAACATGCAGATCAACGGATGCAGCAACACTTACCGGAATTTGGCCTTTGTTTTTCCCAAACGTCATTTTATCGAAGTTAACTACACACTTCCTCGGTATTAAACAGTCCAATTCTAATATGCATTGGTCTTCAATGTCAGCCAAGTATACTTTCTGTCTGTTCTTCATGTCAGTGAGCTCAATAGTTACCCACACTGGTCCCCACAACCTTGCAGAATGTCCTGTCACACCACAGAGCTTCTGTACAACTTCTGGTACTCCTTTGTGATCCAGCACTTTGATACTCACAAGGGTTTGCTGAGATGCAGAATCTATGACAAAGTTACACCTTTGGGCATCCAGCTTTCCTGTCATGTAGACACTTTGTATATTTGGCATTTTACACTTAGCTGTTGGGACTTTCCCGATGGGGGTTGGTAGGCATCCATCAACACCAACCACTACTGGTTTCCTTGAGGTTGACTTATTGGTAGTATTCTTCTTACACTGGCTCCTCATATGTCCTTGCTCTACACAGTTCCAACAACCTTTCTGGGTAGCAGCCTTTCCTGCCATGGCATCTTCCCTGTGTTGAAGTTGCCGGAATTGCGCTCTCTTTTGCCCAGGTTTGTTACAGTGCCAGCTAAGTCACTACAACTTCTCTGAAAGCTGCTTTTCTGGCCTTGAATCCTGATGACTGTATCAACCTTGGTACCTCTGTGCTGGACTTAACGTATGATTCAAATTCAAGAGCTCTGGCTATTGCATCCTGCATAGTAGAGGGGTGTGCTTGCTTTACTTGTATCTTCAGTTGTCAACTGTCCAAGGCGTCTACAAACTGACCCCTCAGCAACAACTTGAGGACATCGGATGGTGCAGTTGGGTAGGCCTTGTGTGCCATACTTTCCATGTCCTGTGCTAGCTCTTGCAGGCTCTCC